CCGGAGGCTTCTGCCAGGACACCGCGGGAGGATCCTGGTCACCGGCACGGCTCGCGAGGGAATCGGGCTTAGGGGCTGGTGGGAGGGTCTCACGTTTCTGCCTAGCCTTTTTTTTGTATCCTTTTTTATACAATTTGCATTTTAAAAAAAAAAAATAGCACCTGCATTGCCTTTTAAAAGTGAAAAATTTTAAAAGCCTTAAAAAGTCCTGTGAGGCAGGCGCCGGAGGGGAGTGGGCTCCTCTGCTGATCGACACCCTGCAGCTGTGCCGCCCCGGCCGCACCCGCCCGGGCCTGGGGTGCGGGTCCCGGAGCTCACCCGAGGGCGGGGCTGGCCGGGAGCGAGGGAGGAGGGGAGAAAAAAAGCGCGACCGGACGCTGTGGCGCACCGCTGTCGCCCCAGCACTCGCGAGGCTGACGCAGGAAGATCGCTGCGAGTTCGAGGCCAGCCTGGGCCACATAGCGAGACCCTGACTCACACAAACAAACAAAAACAGAGAGAAAAAGTACGCATAGAGGAAAGGAAAGAGAGAGAAGGAAAAGGAGAAGGCGGCTTGGGACGCGGCGCCTGGGTGCTGTTCCGCGCGTGGCCGCCAGGGGCCGCCCCAGCCCGCAGACCCGGCCGGAGCCGCGGCTGGAGCCACGCGGTCAGCTCCCCAAGCGTTGCCGCTGCCACCGCCCGCTCCGCCGGGCCCGCCGTGGGGTCCTGGAGATCCGCGGTGGGCTGAGGGGCAGTGGGGTTAGCACTGGGCGCAGCCCGTGGAGTGCGGGACCAGGATCGTGAGGACCGTGGTGACCGCGAGCAGTGGGCTCCCGGTGAAACCTGCCCCACACGCAGGGCAGCCCAGGCAGGGCCCTGCACCCTCCTGCCTCGGCCTCCTCCTATGACTACTCTGATCTCTGTCCTCTGCTAGGTCAGCCCTCACTACTGCGCCACAGCCCAGTTCCCTCAGTGAGACTCTGTCTGTCTGTCTGTCTCTCTCTGTCTCTCTGTCTCTTTGTCTCTGTCTCTGTCTGTGTCTTTCTCTCTCTCTTTTTTGGGGGGATAGTGGTAATCAAACCCAGGGATAGTCTACTGCTGAGCTAAACCCCCAGGCCCCCATTTTCCCCCCAGGTCTTTATAAATTGCCCAGGCAGGATTTAAAATCCAGATTCTTCTGCCTCAGCCTCCCACAGCAGCAGAATTACAGGCATGCACCACCATGCCAGGCTCTAAGGGTCTCTTTTTTTGTTTTTGTTCTCTCCCCTCTCCCTCTTTTTCTTGTTTTGCTTTGTTTTTTGAGACAGGGCCTCACTATGTAGCCCTCTATCTTGTGCGGATCCTCCTGCCTCAGCCTCAGGAGTTCTGGGATTACTGGCCTGGCTCCAAGGTCTCTCTGCATCTGCCTCCTCCTGTGTCTCCCCCCTGCACTGTTTGGGCCTCTGCTGCACAGAAAGCAGAGCAGAGGGGCTCGGAACCTCGGGAGGCACCCTTTCCTTCAGAACCAGTCTAAGCAGGGTGCGGTGGCCCATACCAGTCATCCCAGCACCCTGGAGGCTGAGGCAGGAGGATCGCAAGTCCCAGCCCTGCCTGGGCAGCTTGGCGACTTAGTGAGAGCCCGTCTCAAAATGTACAGGGGGCCGGGGTGCGGCACAGCAGAGGGCACTGGCCTCACGTGTGAGACCCTGGATCCCCCAGCCCTGGATCGAACACCGCCAGCCCGGAGGCCCGAGGGACCGCAAGCCCCCTCTCGGCGGGGCCCTCAGCTGTCATCTCCAGGGAGGACACCAGTGGACTTCCTCCCGCCCCCCCCCCCGCCCGCCTGACAAACACCTCACCCGAATTGATTGTTTTCCATTTAGAAAAAACGCGTCGGGAAGGGGGCTGAGTGTGGCTCTGATGACCTCCGGGGAAGAGGCTCCGTGGCAGAGCTTCCTGTGGCCGTGACAAATGGCTTTCAGGAAAAAACCTGGGCTGGCTCGGGCGCCACTCGAGGGGTGCGAAGGCCGTGCCAGCCCCCCGGCCCCCCAGGGACGCGGGGAGCCCGGCTCCAAGTCTGCTGGAGGGCCTCAGACGCTGCTGCAGGGCTGTGAGTCACGCAACTGCCGAACCTTACAAGTTGGCGACGGCCACCAGGACGGACAAGGTGCCCGTCACGAGGAAGGCGCTGGCCGCTGAGCCGCACCCAGGCCTTTAAAACTTTTTTTAAATTTTGAGACAGAGTCTCTCTGAATTGCTAAGTTGCCCAGGCTGGGCTCCAACTTGCCATCCTCCTGCCCCAGCGCCCGGGTGCTGGGAGGACCTATGTGAGCACGCCTGGCTCAGGTTTGATTTTGAATCTTCTTTCCTCTTTGGGAAAAGAATTAGAAATGATCTAGATGTCCACCCGAACCTGCTGTAGCACGGGTAGTAAAAACCCAAGCAGGCAAAAGGAGTGCCGGATCTTGGGGGGGGGCGTGCGGCTGCCTGGGGAACGCTCTCCCCGAGTGCACAAGCTCCTGGCTCCGTCCTCAGCACCAGTCGGCAAAGGGAAATGGAGAAATCTCACAGACAAGGTGCTGAGCAAACACGGCCGGGTCCACCGTTAGCTTTTCTGTTAACGGAAAACCTAGCTCGTGAGGTACCGTGCCAAGCGGGGCGCACACCTGCAATCGCAGCTCTTCAGGAGGCTGAGGCAGGAGGATTAAAGTTTGAGCTCAGCCTGGGTCATCCTGCAAAACTCGGTCTCCAAATAGAGCTGGGGATGTGGCCGGCCAATGGTGAAGCTCAGGCCCTGGGGTCCCTGGGGGGGGGCGAGTTCTTCAGAAGAGCGATCAGAGCAGGCCACCGGTCCGAAGGGAAAGGAGCCGTCCCCTGGAGCGTCACACAGCGCACGAGCACGGGTGCCTTCCCTCCCCCCCCACAGGCGAGGGCGTCGGCGCTGACCCGGCAGCACCAGCAGGTCCATGCTCCACTCTCCGGGGGACTTTGGTCCCCAGTCTCCTCCTTGTCCCCGACAGTCACAGGTGTACATCGGCCCCTCCCGGGGGTCTGAGCATGCCCTGGGCTGTCACACCTCCTGGAGTTGACCCCGGTCACCCCCTGCCACCCTGCCACAACCGGAGCAGCCCTCCCGTGTGCCCACTACTCAGGCGGCATGGGTGCCAGGCGTGGCCCTTGACAGTTACGGTTTATCCCGAGCCCCTGAACGTCACCATGGGCTGAGGCCGGGCGCAGCCCTGCCCCCACTCCAGCGCCCCACCACTCAGGGCAGGGGTGACGGTCACTGCCGCCAGTGAGCCAGGCACCGAGGCGCACGCCTGTGATCCCAGCACGCGGGAGGCTGAGGCGGGAAGATGGCCTCCAGTTCGAGACCAGCCTGGGCTACACAGTAAATTCAAGTCCACCCCGATCTACACAGTGAGACTCTCTCTCAAAAAATAAAGAAACACAAGTTGAGGAAGTATTTGGGGGAATCCAGGCCAGCAGGGCTTTGAGCGCAAGAGCTTTTGTAACATTTGTGCGCACTGCATTTCTCGGTGGCGTTCTGGGCTTCGTTTCCTCCTCACACAGAACCGCGGCTGGAGGAGGGAGACCCCGGCGGGGGCCGCGGCTCCTGGTGGCCAGGGCCCCACCTGTCACCCAGCCCCGAGCACTCTCCGCGGCCAACCGGACGCGCGGCGGGTTGGGCGCCCGACCCCGGCCCCTCCGAGCAGGAATTGCTTGGTGGCTGCGCAGGCCAAAGGTCACACAGGGTTTCCTGCCACCCTGGGAACTTCCTCCTTCCCGACCCGGCCCGGCGGCGCGACACCCGGCCCCTCCCCGCTGTCAGGGACCCCCACCCGCCGCCTGGTGACAGGACGCAGGGCGCACGGCCACCAGCAACGTCCCCGTCACTGCCAGCCGTGTTCCCGCCCCTCCCGCCAGCCAGCCGGGACCCTGCAAGGCTGTCCGCGCTGTCCCGTGCCCCCTCCCCAGGCCAGCAGCAGCTGATGGTCGGGCCCAGGTCGGCCCCTTTGGGGACCCCGGGACCCCAGCGTGGAGCAAGCAAAGACGGCAGAAAGTTCCCAGGCCCCTGGGGAGGGCACCCCCAGAATCCTTTGCTTCTGGATCCCCAGCCCCCCAAAGCCACCTGAGGGTAGGCCCGCGGTGACCCCAGGATATTGGGGGGCTGTGCACTGGGACAGGAGTCCCCCAAGCATCACACGGGGCCCCAAACAGCGCCGCGGCGGGGCAGGGGAGGGATGATGGAAAGCACCTGCACGGGCTCACCCACCTCCCGGGGGAAACACACAGCAGCTCAGACCCCATCGGAGCTCCGAGGGGGCCCAGCTCCCGGACCCAGGGCCCGGAGCTCTTGCTCCAGAGCGGTCTGCTCACTCTTTCTCAGTGCTGGGGACAGACCTCAGGCCCCCAACTGAGTTGCAGCCCCAGTGCTTTTTCTTTTTTATTGTCAAACAGGGTGTCCTAAATCACCTGGGTTGGGCTCACACTCAAGATCCTCCTGCCCCAGCCTCCTGAGCCTCAGCGTTCTGAGGATGCACTGCCACGCCTGGCCCTGAGCAAATATCAAGCACCTCTGTGAGCCCGGAGGGGCAGCTCGGCCAGTGCCGCGGCCGTGTGCAGTGCAGCCACCGTGAGGTCCGGTGTACCCACAGACCGCCCACTGCGGGCGACGCCCCAACCAAGCGGGCACGTGTCACCAGCCTTCCAGGAGGGAAGCCCAGCCCTGTGAGCCGCCAGCTTCTCCCGTGGCCCTGTTCTCCATGCCAAGGTGCCCGAGATGGTTAAATGAGATAAACCCTAAAGGCCAGGCACAGTGGAGGGGGTCTGTCAGCCCAGCACCGGGGAGGCTGAGGCAGGAGGATTGCTGTGAGTGTGAGACCACCGTGGGCTGGCTACATAGCGGGGCCAGTCTCAAAAACACACAGAACAAAGGAAAGAGAAGGGAGAGACGCAGGTCCTCGCTCGGACGGGGGCTGGGAGCCCCTCCTGCTTCCTCCCGGCCAGGAAGCGCCGGGGGCGGCGCCGCGGGCTATAAAGGGCCGCGGGCGGCCCGCCGCGGGAGCCACCATGGGCCTGGCCATGCAGCCCGGGGCGCCCTACACGCGGGCCGGCGGCGCGGCGCGCGGCTGCTGGTTCTACCTGCGCTACTTCTTCCTGTTCGCCTCGCTCGTGCAGCTGCTCATCATCGTGGGGCTGGTGCTGTTCATGGTCTACGGCAACGTGCACCAGGGCACCGAGGCCAACCTGCAGGACACCGAGCGCCGCGCCGCCGCGCTGCACGCGCAGGTGGTGGGGCTGGCGGGCGCGCGCACCAACCTCACGCGCGAGCTCAACCTCACGGCGCGCGCCAAGGAGTCCATCATGCAGATGCTGCTGAGCGCGCGCCGCGACCTGGACGGCCTCAACGCCAGCTTCCGCCAGTGCCAGGCGGACCGGGTGAGTGCCTCGTCCGGCCGCGGCTCTGCTGCGGTCCGGTCTTCCTGTCGGGAGGCAGGGTCTCGCTCTGCAGCCCAGGCTGGCCTGGAACGCGCGGCGATCCTCCTGCCTCAGCCTCCCCAAAGCCGGGATGACAGGCATGCGCGCCCATACCCGGCTTTGCCTGCTCTTATAACTAACAAAAAATTAGTACTTGTCTGTTTTCTAGTCCTACAACAAAATAACTAAAACCAGGTAATTTGTAAGGATGGCTTTAAGACTGGGAGTCAGGGTGCACGCAGGTAATAATCCTAGCACTCTGGAGGCTGAGACAGGAGGATTTCAATTTCGGGATGGCAGCCAGCCTGGGCTACAGGGTGAGATCTTGTCCAAAAAAACCAAAAAGAATAGAGGTTCATCAGAACCAACCTAGGCTGTGTGGAGAGTTCCCAGCCAGGCTGCTTATGCCGTGAGACCTTGCCCCAAAAAGGGAGAGAGAAGCCAGGCGTGGTGGCACGCACCTGTAGTCCCCGCACTCAGAAGGCTGAGGTCAAAGCCAGTCTGCACTATGTAGCAAGGAAAAACACAAAAAGAGAGAGACAGACAGACAGACAGAACGTAGCGGTCTGCGTAGCACTGAGCTCGGGTGCAGAGGCTGGGGAGCCTGGGTGCTAACCAGCAACTCCACACCACCCAGCGGGGACCAGGTCTCCTGCCCACTGCCCTTAGGCACGGAGCCCAGCAGGGCCGCCCGGGTTCAGGGTGGACGGGGTGCCCGGGGTGTGCAGGGGCAGCGATAGACCCACAAGTGCCTGCGCGAGTGTGGCCAGCTTCAGAGGACCCCGCCGCGCGTCCCTCAGGGATCGTGTCCCCACATGGTGAGCGCCTGCCGTGAAGGTGGGAGGCCCTGCACTCCGTCCCAGCACCTCAAAGAGTAAGAATAGCGGCCCGACCTAGTGGTGCACGGCTGTAATCTCAGGTACTCGGGAGGCTGAGACAGGAGGATCGCTCTCCAGCAGTGTGCATGTGCACGCACACGCGTGTGAGCACACACACACACACACACACGCTGTGTGAAGGGTTAGTGCCCGCGCAACCCCCACTTGCTGGGCCGGGAGGCAGGCGGGGAGTGGAGACCTGGGAGAGGAGGTCGGTTTCCTGAGGGGTGCGGCCTGCCTGGGGTCGGAGGACAGCGGCACAGGGGCTGGGCGGACACACCCACCCCTCACGCCTGCCCTTGCCCAACACCCTGGGCAGTGCGCTTTTCTCTGCTCCTCTGAGGCAGGGCCCCGCTGGCCGGGCGCGAGGGGAGGTGCTCTCTGGTGGCCTCAGCCAAGGGCGGGGGACAGAGGCAGAGGGGCAAGAGGAGGGGGCAGGAAGGAAACGCTCAGATGCCCCAGCCTCAGGTCCTCTCGGACCCCAGTGTCCCCTGGGGCCCCAGGGCAGGGATCCACCCCTTCCCTAGAGCAGGTGGGTTCCCCAGGCCAGGCTACTGTATAGCCAGACCCCAAGCCCCACAGGCCCTAGAATGAAGATCCCTTTTAGGACCCTCAGAAGATCTGGGAGGCTGAGGCAGGAAGGTCACAAGCTCCAGCTCAGCCTAGGCAATTTAGTGACTTAGTAATTCTTAAGTCTGAAAATTCCAGAATTAAAAAAAAAAATTCCAGAACTGGGTCTGGGATGTAGCTCAGCGCCAAGGCCCTGGTTCTGTCCGGGCCCAGAGGACTGAGTGCCACGCTGTCTTCAGGTCACAAGAGACTCTACACCCTGGGAATCGACCTGTTTGGATTCCAGGATGAGCTCAGCCATCCGGTCCAGGATCATTAATCTTAGACTCTCACACGCACCCCAGCGCCCTGGAAACCCCCGGCTTCCACACTGGGCTTTGTTTCTGAGATAGGGTCTCACTAAGTCACGAAGCTGCCCAGGCTGGCCTCAAACTTGGGATCCTCCCGCCTCAGCCTCCTAAGCATCTTGGAATTACAAATGGGTGCCACCATGCTTGGCCCACATTTGTATTTTAAATGCAGGTATTTTTACTCATTTACTGGTGCTGGGGGTGGGACCCAGTACCTTGCGCCTGCTGCGTGGGTGTTTTGACCACTGAGTTACACACCCAGCCCCAGTCCTGGAATTTTCAACCGTAAAATTTGAAAACTCATAGCTGAGTCCCCACCCTCTTCTCCTGTGTGTCTCCTTCGGGCTGGCAGCTTCTCCTGGCTCGCACTCCCTGAGGGGCAGAGGGTACGGGGCGACTCAGCTCACAGGCGGCTCACACAGCCACCAGCCAGGCGTCCCCACCCCATCCTGGGGGCATCAAAAATAAATGTGATTTTTTTCTTAAATTTTTTTTTTCTGGTACCGGGAATTGAACTCACAACCTTGTGCTTGCCAGGCAGGCGCTGTGCCGCTGAGCTAAATCCCCAGCCCCTGATTTTTTCTTAAATTTGATATTTAAACAATATTTTGTATTGTTGTTTGTTCATTTTTCAGCACTGGAGAGAGAACCCAGGACCTTTGGACTCAGCTGCATCCCTTGCCTTGTTTTTTTTTTTTTGGTCTTTTTGAGACAGGGTCTCCCTATGCAGTTCAGGCTGGCCTTGAGCAACTTTGCCGCCCAGGCTGGTCTCAAACTCCCAACGATCCTCCTGCCTCAGCCTCTCGAGTGCTGGGATGACAGGAGCGTGCGGCAGGCTGTTAGTACCTAAGGCTCCCCAGGTGATGTCTGTCCTCTCCAATCATCCCGGCCCCGGCCCAAGGCAGCTCTGAAAGGACGGTGTGGGCCCTTCTCCCTCCTTCTGTGCACCGGCCTCTGCTCCGAGGCGCGGGGGCCGCCTGACCAGGAACCATAGCACCTTCCGCTGTCCGCCACCTGGAGGCCTGCTCACACACTCGCTAGTTCTCCCACAGCGAGCTGATTTCACAACTCAGTGACTGCCATCCCCAGGCAGAAGTGTGCACACACTTTCCCAAGGGAAACCCCACCTGCAGCTGCCCTCCCCTGGCCCTGACGACCCTGTGGCTGTTACCCACTTCCTGTCCCTGTGGATCTGCTTGTTCTGGCCATTTCCTGTCGAGGGCACATGCTGTGCCCCGCTGTACCTGCCGCTGTCACCCAGCATCTTAAAGGTGCACCTGCCTTGTAGTGCGTGTCAGAGCCCCATTCTTTTTCATGGCTGAATAATATTCTAATGTGTTGTGTTTTTCCATTTGCCTACTGGGCATTTGGGCTTTTTCCACCTTTGGTCCCTGTGCGTGGTATGGTGGTGGACACTGGAGTACAGGTCCCCTGTGGATGTTTTCGTTTCTTTGGTGTCAGTACAAATAAGTGGACAGAAGAGTCACATGGTAATATGTTTAACAAATTGAGGAGCTGCCCAACTCCTACTTTCATTGTTTTGTGTTTTGAGATAAAGTCTTGCTATATAGCTCCGGCTGGCCTCAAACCCATGGCGATCCTCCTGCTTCAGCCTCCTGAGTGCTGGGGTGACAGGCGTGCAGGACCACACTCCACTTCTCAATGGAATCCTTTGAAGCGGAAAAGTTTTGTTTTTGTTTGTTTGTCTTTTTGAGACAGGGTCTCACTATGCACTTCAGGCTGGCCTTGAACTTACTTTGTAGCCCAGGCTGGTCTTAAACTTGCAACGATCCTCCTGCCTCAGCCTCCTGAGTGCTGGGATTACAGGTGTGCGCCACCACGCCCGGCTGAAAGGGTTTTAATGCTGATGAAATTCAGTTTCTGGGTCTTCTTTCCTGGTGTGTAGGGTTGTCAAAGCTGAGGAACCACCAGCAAACCCTAGGTCACTCCAACTTAATACCCATCGAGTGTCTGAAGATTTTGAGGGTTTGGGCTCTTAGGGTTAGGTCCTTGACGTGCTCTTCCCAGGGCTGGGATCCGAGCTCCTGGCTGTGGGTGGCAGGTGAGCTTGCTGCGGGGGGGCTCCATCCCAGCCCTGCTTCCAGACGTCTGGAGTCACTTTCCACGCGGGTGGGCCTGCTGTGCACACCCGGCTGCGGAGCAGCTCTGAGGAAAGCGAGCTCCGCACCTGGACTTCTCTGCGATACCCACTCAGCTCCGGAAGCCAAGGGCCACAGCAGGTCAGCAGCGGCCGGGCACGTGCTCAGTGCTGGAGCGCTCTGCAAGGCCAATCCCCAGGAGCCCAGACAAGAAAATAACAGTAGATTAAAATTTAAAAGAATAGCTGGGCGTGGGGCTGGGGCACTCCAGAGGCAGAGGCAGGAGGATCACAGGTTCAAGCCCAGCCTGGGCAACTTGGTGACTCAGCAAAACCCTGTCTCAAAGAAAAAAGGGCTGAGGATGTGGCTCAGTGTGAAGCTCCTGAATTCGACCCCAGTACTGCAGAACAAACAAACAAAAAGTAAAAATAAAAAAAGGAAATAATCCTACTGACACCTTCTGTTTGGGGGAGGGGAGTACTGGAGTAAACCCAGGGCCTTTAAATTGAGCTCACCCCCACTCTACCTACCCATCTATCTGTCTACTTTTTTTTTTTTAATTTTTTTGTCTTTTTGAGACAAGGTCTCACTATGCAGTTCAAGCTAGAGTTGAGGTCACTTTGTAGCTCAGGCTGGCCTCAAACTCACAATGACCCTCCTGCCTCAGCCTCCTGAATGCTGGGATTACAGGCGTGTGTCATCACGCCGGGCTCTCCCTGTCTACTTGAGACAGGGGCTCACTAAATTGCCCAGGTTGGACTTGAACTTGTGACCCTCCTGCCTCAGCCTCCCAGAGTGCTGGGATGACGAATGTGCGCACCACACCCTGCAAATGTCCCCTTGCTATCAGGCACCAGTCACACTGAAGTTGGGTCACCCTGAGGGCCTTGTTTTGACTAAATCACTTCTGCAAAGACAGCCTGGTCCTGACTGACCGAGCAGGGGACACAGCCCCGCCCAGGGCAGCCCTTTCATCTGACTGCCCTCCCCCTGCACGTCACCTTTCAAGTTCACCCGCACAGCAAGTACCAGGGATTCGATCCCTTTACGTCCTGAAATGCCAAATAATTCTACACATTCCTGGGGCCCAGTGTGACATGCCCACACTTGGATAGCATGTGCAGTGACAAGATTAGGGCAGTTAGCACATCTGTCACCTGGAACAGTTATGTTTCTCTGCGTTGGGAACCCTCAGTAAAAGTCCTCTCTTAGAGTCAGGTGTGGTGGCGCACGCCTGTAATCCCAGCATGCAGGAGGCTGAGGCAGGAGGATTGCTATGAGTTCAAGGCCAGCCTGATATAGGTAGTGAGACCCTGTGTCAAAAAGCCAAAAATAAAACCCCGTCTTCTGGCTCTTTTGAAATACCCATGAGTTCCTGTTCACCGTAGCGATCTTATTGTTCTGTGGAACACTAGAACTTCACCCTTGTGCCTATTTTTGGATGTTAACCAAGTCTCCTCCATCCCCTCCCACTTTGCCCTTTTTGACGGCTGAGTAGTAGTCACTGTACAAGCTTGTTTCTTCTGCGGTGCTGGGTGTCGCCCTGCCTGGGCTGTGAGGGCGCCTCGGCCCTGCGCACCGGCGGCGCGCGAGCCCCGCGGGCGGGTGCTGAGGGTCCGTGTCCCCCGCGCCCGCAGGCCAACCACGAGGTGGAGCTTCGGTACATAGTGGCCATCATCCAGAGCGAGCAGCAGTGCCAGGAGCAGCTGAAGGCGG